GGGTCGAGCGACCGCCCAGTCGACCCGTCCCCTCCCCTCAGCAGAGCGGGCGAGAATCCTAAAGGATTCACCAACGCGGCCAAAGGATATCCTCGAGAACCTCGAGAAAAGGATTCACGCCTCTTGAGAAGCCTATCGTGCGCGGAGCCCCTAGCCACAGGGCCCTCTCGTGATGAGGGAATCAATGCCGAGCAGCTCTGAGTGCTGCGAAGAGTGCAACAGCACAGCTTGCCAGGCCGCCTGGACTAAGTGCAACTGCAGCCCAGACAGACGGCTTGCGGCATGCACCGCCGCCAGCTCCAAGAGTGAGAGGGATACATGGTTGGTGAGGGAGTGCCAAGTCAGTAGCGAGGAGGTCCAAGCCTGCAGGAGGGCACAGCTAATCAAGGCGCAGGCGCGCACCGCCATGACTCCACACCCTTGTTGTTCACGAACCGCGGACTGCTGCTAAGTAAGCACCCGCGAAACCGTATGGGCACGAACCGCGGAAGAGAATTCACGATCCCGTTTTGTTGTGGTGCATAGTAGCAAGACGTGCTCTACTCGAGTAGACAGCTAAGGGCTAAGTAAGACGCGTTCATTGTTGCAATGTCATTGAGGCAGGAAAGAGCTCGCCGAGGAGTCGAGGGCTCCCGACCACGCCGGACCCAGCCAGGATAAGGCACGCTTGCCTTAAACTGCCATGAAGAGCACTAAATGTGCGATAAAAAATCTCTTGAAAGCGCCACAAAATGTATTTGAAAAGCGGGCGAATTACATCTGAACGGAGGAAGAATGGCGAGAGAATGGCGAGAGAATGGCGGGAGAATGGCGAGAGAATGGCGGGAGAATCTCTCGCGAGAGAGAGAGAGAGAGAGAATTCTTGATACGAAACCACGACGACACACACCAGTCGACTCGCATCGGTTGCCTCCATGAACGGCGGAGCTATTCTCGCGCCCACACCACACCTGGCTCCATCTCTCGCAAATGACCAGCGAAGGGCGCAGTGAAAAACCACAAAACAAATCTTCAAACCGCCTTGTATTCATGGTTATCTAGATAGGCACCCTCGCCTAATCGAGACCCAGCCGTCGGTAGTCGGCCCGCCACTGGCGGCGTCGAGGACAGTTCGAGACGGTATGCGGCACCCAAGTGCGTGGGTTATGATTGGCGAGGCTGTCGGCTCGCCCGTCGCCAAGGCGGACGCGCGCCGCGAGGCTGTGCTGTACGTGCATGAGTTTGCGCTGCGGGGCGCCCGCCTCTCCTGGGTGGCGGAGGGCGAGGAGGCCTGCATTGCCTCGATGCTTGGCACGCCCATTGATCCGCTCGTGATTCAAGACGCCGGCTCCGTCAACGAGGCGCTTCTCGACATCGCCGTCAACCACTCCGCGACGACCACCGCCCGGCTGCACGCCTGCCACCGCCGGTCGTCGGCGCAGTCGCCGCCGCTCGCTGTGGCGCGCGGCACCGGAGAGGCCGATGCGAGGCGAGGCGGCGGCGAAAGGGCGGAGACCGGCGGCGGCGGCGCTGCGGACGAGGCCGAGACCGAGGTCCTCCCCTCGTCGCTCGAGGCCCTCCCCTCGTCGCTGCTGCAGCTGATCCTTTGCTTTTGCGGCTCGACGCGCGCAGCGGTGGGCCGTCCCCGCGCCGCCCTCCTCCTCCTCCTCTCCCCCCCACTGCGACGTCGCCGCTGACCGCGCGACGGTGTGCATCAGGACGCGCTCGGGTGCGTGTCGCGCGCGCTTCGGGCGCACGCCTCGCCGGCGGGCGGCGAGCTCCTCTACCCAGTCTCCTCGCCGCCCGTCTTCCCCGGCTCGCGCCTCTACTCCCGCTCCGCCATGTCGTTGGCGCGGCCGTGGCGAGGACACGTCCCGGACGCGTCCACCTGTAGGCTCGTGCCCCCCCTCGGTTGTCTCGTACGACGAGCGCACGGGGCTGCTCCGCAAGACGTCGCGGCTCGGCAACCCTCTCGTGATGCTCGGCGAGCCGGTGCGATCTCCCCACATCTCCCCACATCTCCCCAGGTGCGACCGAGCGTGCGGCGCGGCGGCCTGCTCGAGATACACGTCCGCCGCCTTCCTTCCGTCGGCGGGATCCAACTGGGCGTGTCTGGCGCATCGGCCGCGCAGCAGCAGCAAGGCGGCGGCGGCTCGCCGGCCCTATCTAGACCTGTGCCGGACACGTCCAGGACAGTTCCAGGACAGTTCCAGGACACGTCCAGGACACGTCCCCCCTCCTCAGGCGGCGGCTCCAGCACCGGGTCGGTGCGGTTCTGGTTCGACGGCGCGGGGCGGGTGCATGTGCTCGACGGCGAGATGTAGCCGAGATGTAGCCGAGATCTAGGCGAGATGTAGGCGAGATGTAGGCGAGATGTAGCCGAGGTGCAGCCGAGGTACAGCCGAGGTACAGCCGAGGTACAGCCGAGAGGTGCAGCCGAGGTGCAGCCGAGAGGTGCTCTCCCTCTGCGCGCCGCGTGTGCGTGATGTTGGCCGTGCCCTGGTGTGTCCCACGCTCCGCGACACGCCGTTCACGTGTCCCGCCGGAGGACCGCCTGCTTTTCTTTTTTCAGTCGCAGGAGCCGCGCCCCGTGTTTTTCGTCTTTCAGGCGCCCGGTGCGAGGTGCTGTCGGTGCTCGGCGAGCCGCTGCGAGAGGGCGACCGGCTGGGCGCGACGCTCTTCACGCTGCACCACAGCCTTGGCTGCAGGAGAGAACCCCTTCCGAGACGGCTCAGATGCCTCTGCCACTTCCCCCGCCCCCAGCGCGGCCGTAGGTCGCTAGGGCTGCAGAGGGCCGGCGCGGT